AAGAAAAGGAAATAAAAACACACAGATCAGAAAGGAAGAAATCAAATGGTCCCTATTTACAAATGACATGATTATCTTCACAGAAAATCTCAAGAAATCTAAAAAACAAAAACAAACACAACCACCAGAAAACCTCCTAGAACTAATAAGTAAGCTCCACAAAGTTGCAGGATACAAGATAAACACACGAATATCAACTGTATTTCTACACACTAGCACTGAATGCATGTACTCTGTTATGGACTAAATTATGTACCCCCCAAATTCTTGTGTTGAAGCCCTAACCCCCAATGTAACTGCCTTTGGAGATGGCCCTTTAAAGAGGTAATTATGGTTAAATGAGGTCACAAGGGTGAGACCCTAGTCCAAGCTGATTGGTGTCTTTGTAAGAAGAGAGATACCAGGGAGGACCACACAGAGAAAACGCCACGTGAAGACGTGGAGAAGACGCCATCTGCAAGCCAAGGAGAGAGGCTTCAGGATACCTCAATCGCAGATGTCCAGCCTCCGAAACAGTGAGAATAAACTTCTGTTGTTTAAGCCACGTAGTCTGTGGTATTTTGTTACGGTAGCCCAAGCAGACTAATGCAGATGCTAAAATTTACAATATTGTTTCATTTATAATTGCTCAAAAAAGAAATAAAGTATAAATAAAACATGTACAGTACTTATATGTGGAAAACTAAAAAATGATGGAAGAAATCAAAGCAAATCTAAATAAATGTAGAGATATACCATGTTCATGGACTGGAAAACTCAACACAGTAAAGGTGTCGATTCCTCTGAAACTGATAGACTGGCTTAGTGCCACTGCTTATTGGAGCAAGAATTTTTGTAGATATAGAGAAGATTACTCTAAAATGTATATGAAAAAACAAAGAAACCATAATAGTGGACACAATTTTGAATAAAAAGAAAAAAGTTGGAGGAATCAGCCTAGCCAATTTCAAAACTTAAGATAAAGCTTCATAACCAAGACAATGTGGTACCGCTAAAAGGGTAGGCACACAGCTCAATGGGACAGAAAAAAACCAGAAATAGACTCACATAAATATGCCCAGTTTTTGACAAATGTGCAAAAGCAATTCAACGGAGGCAAGATAAGTCTTTTCTACAAATGATGCTGGAACAAATGGACACATAGGCCGAAAAAAGTGAACCTCGACCTAAACCTCACACCTTATATAAAAATAAACCCGTAACGGATCACAGACTTAAACGTAAAATTATAAAACCTGTATAAAGAAACTGGGGGAAATCTCCTGAATTTAGGGCTGGCAGAGTTCCTAGACTCGACACCACACGTATGATCCATAAAAAAAAATTGTTAAATCAGAGCTCATGAAAATTAAGAAGATGAAACAACCTACAGAGTTGAAAAAGTATTTGCAAACCACATATATTCAACAAAGGACTAATATCTAGACACACAAACTACTCAAGACCCAGTGGCGAGAGCAATCCAACCAGAAGAGGGGCAGAGGTCTGAGGAAACACTGCCCCAAGGACACACGGACGGCCAGCAAGCACGTGGGGACGTCCGACACCACAACCCATCAGGGAAACGCAAATTAAAGCCACACGGGGTGTCGCTGCACGCCTGTCGGAGCAGCTACAGTAACAACAACACCGAGTGCGGAGGGCCCGAGGGCAGGACCAGCCGGGAGGGGAAGGAAAGGGGCTCCCGGGGCCAGCCCTGTGGGAAGACGGCTCCAGCCCCTCCAACCGAGCCCCGAGGGCCCTGCAGCTCCGGGGTGGGCTGGGGGTGAGGGCGTGTGCTCAGGGTCAGTGCCGCGGGTCAGAAGCCAGGCCTGCGAGGCTGGGGCCACATTGGGCCTCCAGAGTCTCTGGGACAGGCCCCTCCTGCCCAGACACGCAGGCGGCCACTGCTATCTGGGCGCGGGAGACAGCTGGGCTCCCAAGACAGGGCCGCACCTCCCGGGCCGGCCGGACCGCTGGGCAGCCCCGCCCACGCCGGGTACTGTAGAGCCAACGCGAGCCTCCGGGGGCCACGTCCCTGCATACCTACAACAGCCTGACTCTGTCGTCCTCACCCGAAGGGCATTTCCAAACCCCACAGGGCAAGTCTCCTCGCGGGGCAATCTGTGCCTGGGTAACTGGGACGTCTGTTCCTGCCCCGGGCCTCCTTTCCGACCACGCGGACTCAACGCTGAACTTTGGAGCCACCGCTCGGCACCCTCGGAGGACAAGCCCTGATAAGCCTCTTCCCAGCAAAACCTGGGCTCCCAGTGGACAAAGTCCCGCTGGCCAAGGCGTTGGTCCAGCCGCAGCCTAGGATGGGGCACCACTGAGGAGCCCACTGCGCCCACCACCGGCTAACTCTGCGCACTCAGCCCGATCCTGCCTGGCTGGGACCTGGGAGTTAAACACGTCAGTGTCCCCGACCACACAGCCAATGGGAACCTCAAGCTCTTCCCAGAAGCACCAAAAACCCCAACGAGGGGTGGGAAAGGGAGAGGGGACCTTGACAGGGGCCCTCGCGGAAACCGAGCAGCCCACCTGGCCTCCTCCCCGGAGAGAACAAGCTCAAGTGTGCTCCAGCCCGGGCTCCGCCACCAGGCCTGCACCGCCGCAGGTGTGGAGTGGACACGGAGGATGGGCCGGCCGTGGCGGGCAGGGGCTGGGTCATCCCCACTGTGACCTGGTGCCCACCACAAGCGAGCGGCCTACTCCGCCGTGCCCGGCACATCCTCCTGGAGGTGCCCGGACCTGCCCTCTGCACCCCCAGCCCACAGCGGCCCCCACACCAGGTGGGCACCAGGAGGCCTTGGCAGGGACCCCACGCGTGGCTTCCCTCCCGAGGACACAAAGCCGGCACGGGCTCACCTGCGAGTGGACCACGAGGCCCAGGCCCCGCTTGTCTGAGACGATGAGCGTGATGACGGTTTTGAGAATGGTGGCGAAGAACGTGTTGACTCCGAAGACCAGGGCGCAGAGCTCTTTAGACAGGGAGGACGCGATCTGAAAACTGAACGGGAGATGCAGACCAGGATCAGACTGCGGGGGGAGGGCAGGGGCGGCCACGCTGGGAGCGGCCACGCGGGCCGCAGGGCCAGCACAGGTGAGAACCCCTCATCCGAAACGCCTGTGGCTAGAAGTGTTCGGATGTCGGAATATTCTCACAAACATACTGAGGTATCTTGGGAGGGGCTCAGGTCTAAACACGAGACTCACTCGCACTCTGTCTGCACCTGACACACACGCGATTACTCTCAATGCTTTTGTGCAAAAATCGTGACCGTGTTCTGACTGCGACCCCCTGCGCGAGGCTGGGTGCGGGGCCTTTGCTGCGGTGTCGCGTGGGCACCAGTGCAGATCTGGGGCGTTTCCGACGCTGGACCCGCGCAGGGGACGCCGCAGCAGCGACGCAGGCGCGGGCAGACGCTCGGCGGGTCTCCAGGCGGCTCCGGGACGGGCCAGGTCCCTGTCACATCAAAAGGCTCCGAAAATCACCACGAGAACCCGTGAGCACAGACAGAA